GGAGTACAATTTTGTAGTGGGAGACTGGGGCTGTATTGGGGTGGTTAGGGACTATAGTGAGGGGGAATAGGGGCTTCAGTGATGAAAAAAGCTGTAGGTAGTTAGGGGCTGTAGTGGGGAGACAGGAGCTGTATCCAAATAACCTAAATAAGTCGTCGTCCTCCCCCCCACCCCCCCCTTCCTGTGGCTTACTTTGGACCAGGGAGAATCCTTATCCCTGGTGGTCCACAAGGAGATACACAATGAAGGCTTCCCTAGTGGTTCAATGTATATGATCTTGTGAGATTAGAGTTCACTCCACTTGCAAATTTACAGTCTAGCAGTGTGTGTGGCTGAAAAGGGCAGAAGGTAAGACAGACGTATAATTTGTTAGAAGTGTATCCCTGCTCATAGAGCCTCTGCCTTTGTTTGTGTAGCAACTAGTTTTAGATAAATCAAAATAATGTGTGAGGGAAGTCCTCACTAGCTGGGTGTTGGCAGGTATGGCAGTGAGTGGTAGCCAGTTGTTAGGGAATAGTAAAGAAGGGACTGTGACCTGTGACTCTAGTTGTGTTGCAAGCGTCTTAGGTGTGATTTGCCCTGGGCCGGATTACAATAGGGAAGTATGTGTGTGTTATATGCTCGAGGAGCCAGACCCATGGGGCCGTGAAGGTGCAATGTTTGCGCCAATAATTTATTACATTTGAAACACATTAATCTGGGAGTTCAGAAATTAATTTGCCTGCTGCACATTACCGTGTGTTTTATTGCTGTGGAGTTCTGTAGTTTACATATGTGCACTATATATTAGTTTGCGTATTATGGTCAATTAAACAGCTCCACAGGATTAAAATTTGCAGTAATATACTTAATGTTTTATAGCCATGGGATACATAAATCACACATTTCCACCGCAATAAAACTCACCGTATATTACTGTGAGTTTATTGTTGTAAAGCTCTGTGATAAGCATATTTCTAACAGAAATATTATTGTTATGCGTGAGAATTGTTGGGAACTAAAAGTGAATTTCAGATTGAAGGCCAAAATTGTCCTGGAAAGGTAGAAAAATTCTACAATTCAAGTATTCTTTTAGTTTGGCTATTGTGGTCTTAAATAAAAAAAAATTCTTTAAATTCCCAAATATTATCACTTTAGTAAATAACCATGTATGAGTTTTATTGATGTGGAATTCTGTGATGAATTGCGCAAACTGCTCATTGGGAGATGTATTGGAGCTTATAATAATTCCAAATGAAGGCTATGTCAGGTGTCATGGAAAAAGTTCACCTATGCTTCCAATTTAGTTACTTTGGCTTTACATTTGAAATTCACTTTGAATTCTCAACAATTCTTCATTTACCAAATAATCCTTTCATACCTGCTGATACGGCCCACCTTCCGGGTCCGTGGTGGTCAGGGAAGAGAGCAGGAGAGGATGTTCTAGGGCAGGAGTAGGCAACCTTTGGCACTCCAGATATTTTGGACTGCATTTCCCATAATGCTTTTACAGCCATAATGCTGGCAAAGCATCAAGAGAAATGTATTCCAAAACATCTGGAGTGAAGAAGGTTGCCTACTCCTGTTCTAGGGAGTGTTTACACCCTGTAACACTGCTGAAGCAATCTATGGATGGTCCTGAAATATACCGGTAGATTTCAAAATGCTGGGTCTCCTGTAACTAAATTTGCCGGAACAGTACCCCAAAACATAAGAATGTCCTGGCTAATTCACAATTATTGCCACATATGCCCGTGTATTTCAGTATCTATTGCTATAGAGCTGTGTGGATATTTGAATAACAAATCTCCTCAGTTATAAAACTCACCATATATGTATGTAATATCTGTTATGATTTGTGATTCATATACACTAGGGATGAACCGAAACCGAAAATTCAGGATACCCTTGGCTGAAAACTGAAACCGAAAATGACTTTTCCCCCCAAATGATTTGTGTAGGTTATATAGTGTGTGTATGGAATATAATGAGGTGTGGTAAAGGGATGTAGTGTGTATGTGTGTAGGTTATATAGTGTGTGTGTAGGGAAAATAGTGAGGTGTGGGAAATGGATGTTGTGTGTATGTGTGTAGGTTATATAGTGTGTGTAGGGAACATGGTGTGGTGCAGTATAGAGATGTAATGTGTAGGTTATGTAGTGTGTGTAGGGAACACGGTGTGGGATAGGGATACAGTTTGTAGGTTATGTAGAGTGAATAAGGCATGTGGGGTGGGCTAGGGATGTAGTGTGTGTAGGGCACATAGTGTGGGGTGTGATAGGAGTGTAAGGCACATAGTGTGGGGTGATAGTGATGTAATAGGGGTAGGACACATAGTGTGGGGTGGGTTAGGGATAGGAGAGTGAGGGGGTGACAGGTGACAGAGCGTGGGAGAGAGGGGGTGGCAGAATGAGGGAAGGAGGGGGTGGCAGAGTGAGTGAGAGGGTGGCTGGTGGCAGAGTGAAGGGGTGAATTAGTAAGGGAGGGGGTGCCTAACGTATGGGAGGGAGGAGGTCACTTATGACAGAGTGACTGAGGGAGGGGGTGACTGGCTGCAGAATGAGTGAGGGAGGGGCTGACTTGTGACAGAGTTAGGGAGAGAGGGGGTGACAGAGTGACTGAGGCAGGGGGTGACTGGTGACAGTGACTGAGGGAGGGGGTGAATGGTGGCAGAGTGACTGAGGGAGGGGGTGAATGGTGGCAGAGTGACTAAGGGAGGGGGTGACTGCTGGCAGAGTGACTGTGGGAGTGACTGAGGGAGGGGTTGACCGTGAGGGAGGATGTTAGAAATACCTATTTTATTTTTTTTTCGGGAGATTTGACCCGTTTTCGGACTAAATGGGATAGGCTCATTTTCAGACGAAATTTCAGTGCATCCCTAATATTCACATTCACCACACTGTGAGTTATATTATTGTGAATCTCCGAAGAATTCTCCAATATATAGCAGGTTACTATGAGGTGGTTTAAAAAAAAAAAAAAAAGGATTTCTCATTGATCAGTCACACCCACTTGTACCCTATACATACACTCTACAAAAGGCTACAGATAAGTAGGGTGTTTCCTTTAAAATTACTTTTCTGTGGTCTAACTCCTACTTTTTCCTGTTAAAAATTGTGGTAATGTAGATTATGTAGAAACTTTAAAATAAATGAATAAATAAATCAGTGTTTAATCTGTGCTACTGAAAGGTCCACTGTTCTCCTATAGTAAGAAAAATGTTCTGGTAGCCTGCCAAATTAACATTTTATAATTTTTAAAAGATGTACAATTAAATAACCCAGAGAAGGTAATATTGATTTGTTTTTTTTTATTTCTCCTGAGCACAGTCATTTTTATTCCTTGCCAAATTCTTAAACCATAGCATTGTTTAATGTCGTTGACGAATATATGTATAATTCTCACGTATTCACACATGGAAGAAAACAGCACAAAAATAGAATGGATTCTGTTTTCATTCAGTTTAATGAATTCCTCCCCTTTTACATTAGTATTCATGAGTAGTTGCCATGTGCATAATGCTCACATTTTATCACTCAGCCTCTTTTATACTCTCCGACATCTCCTTCCACCGTGAGAATACATGGAAGTTTCCTCATCCCTAAATCGCTTTCATAGAATCATGCTCTGGGGAGCAATGTGTCATTCGTTAAAATACATCAGGAAGAGGTGTTTTTGTGAATGAATACATCCATGTTTTTACTATGTGCATATCTTCCAAGTATTCTTATTTAACCCCTTAAGGACCAAACTTCTGGAATAAAAGGGAATCATGACATATGTCATGTGTCCTTAAGGGGTTAAGAGGGACCTCTTTTCTGTCTTAACGTCCCTCTTTACCATTAGCTCCATATTATGGGTGTGCATAACAGAGCTCCACAGTAATACTACTCATAGTAATGCGTATTTTTAATTGCAATCAATGAAAGAAATCAGTCTATGTAAATAAGATAAATTGCTCTTTTTTTTAGTTTAGCATTTTAGTTGTATAAACTCTTATTAGTAAGTCCCCTAAAATTTCTCAGAACAACCCTGCCTGCAGTGCTCCAGTGACACCTCACAACCCTGTAAGTGTCCCTCTTTGACAATTTAACATTTTGGGAGGCATGTTCCATGTTTACGTTGTTGTTATTATTATTGGCATTTATATAGCAGCAACTTGTTCCGCAGCGCTTTACAATAATATAAAGGGGATAATTTAACAGCAAATGAAACAAACTAAATTGACAGGAACAATAAGCTAAGGATGACTGTGCTCAAACAAGCTTACAATTCAGAGCATGGTTGTCCAACGTTTTGGCTCTTAGGCCACATTGAGCGAAGGAGGAATTGTCTTGGGCCGCACATAAAATGTATAATATAATGAATTTATATAATAAAACTTCAAAAGGCCTTATTATTAATTATGATATTTAATTTGTTTAGTAGTGTGACAAACTCCCCTTTCCACGTGAGTTTGCCACAAGCTCCTGGAGGAGCCTGCATTCCAGCCTCCTGCCCACAGTTTATGGACTCTGTTAAATGTAATGTAAAAGTCTCCGTTCGTTTATTTTGGACTGTATGGTGCAGGAACCGAACAGCCGCACAAACCAGAGACCACCCAGGAGCTTGTTAAGCCTAATTGCTACTTTGTAACAAATTCCACCACAGTGTTCTAAGTGTTCGTCTGGGTGGCCGCATTTCCAGTGGATGACCATGAGGTGGCGGCCATCTTGTTCACATGAACACAGGCAGTGGTGTTTGGTCGTCGAGTTCATGGAACTATTTTCAAACAATGAAATTCACGAACACCGCTGGACTTCCATGATCGCCTGTGCTCGGTTTTAGAACACTTAGGAAGACACTGTTCGGTGGAATAGTTTGTCTGAATAAGGTGAACAAGCTCCAGGGTAGAACTATGGATTCCGTTCGGTAGTTTGTTCACTTTTTAAACTACCGAGCTATACCGACCGCAAGCCCTGATTTTCTGTAACTGTTTTGGGAATGGGATCATGCGTGCAGTCGATCAAATTATGACTTCCAGGAAACCCCTGAACCGATCTGGGTGATTTCTGGATATGTTGGGCACCCAGATTGGGGCTATCAGGGGATGTAACTTTTGTGGGGTTTTTATGTATTTTTATGGTACTTTTGCAGTGTTTGTGAAATGTGTGTTTTTTGTGCCTGAAGATAATTGAGTTTTGTATAGTTACTGACTCAATTATCTCCCAGGCATAGGGGAGGGATTATCCTGTTTTCTGTGGGAGTGTCATGGGCGTGCTGAACTGTATTAGAAACTGTATAAAAGCAGGCCATCTGGTCAGATTAAACGTATTCCAGCTTGTACTCCCAGAACTATGTGTCGTCTGGTTACTGAAAGGGGAAAGGGCTACTCTTTATTCACTGTTCCAGTGTGGAGGATTTAACATGGGAAAGTCCTTTTAAGGACTAGGAGTGTCATCCAGTGCCTGGGGGTGTCTAGAGCGAATTCCTCATTCGGCTCCAGGAGGGAGTAGTTCCAGGACCCCAGTTAAGCCACAGCGACTGTGGGCAGAAGTGCTGCGGTTTGTCCCCTGTTCCAGCTATGAAGCGGTCCTTGACGGAGGTACCCAGCCAGGGGTACAGGGAGCTCCGTTACTAGTAGATAACTCCCTTATTTGTTATCCTATTTTGGGATTGCCATATTTAAGGATACCAAATTAGGGCGCTATCTACTAAACACATGCATATACATATACACAAAACCACAGATATACACACATCTAAAATCACAGATCTATACACACACACAATCAGACATACACATAATCACAGACAAACACAATCACAGACCCACATATGCACACACAATCACAGACATACATATATTCACAGAAATACAAATACAATCATAGACCTATAGACACATACAACCACAGACATAAACATAATCACAGACATACACAATCACAGACCTATATATATGCAATCACAGATTCACAATCGCATACACACATAATTACTGACATACACATAGAAAAATCGCATTAATACGCACACATCTAGTAAGGTTCACTCAGCCTCACTACCTTGCACTGGGAGGAATGGAGTGGATCCTGTCCCTGGTGACCCTGCTGTGATCATTGTGATCTTCCTGCACAGGTCCTTTTTGTGCCCAGTAGTGATTCCAATGCCAGGGTGCGCGAGGGTAATGTGCAGAAAGAGCACACTAAGTAATGGGTACCCGGTAATGGGCAGCCTGGACAGCACCTGGGCTGCATTATAAGCAGTTCAGGGCCACATGCAGCATGTGGGGCACAAGTTGGCTAGTAGTGTTTGTTGGCATATGAACATGGATTTCAAGACCATCTGACGTAAACATGTTGAAGTAGGAATTTTATTTATGTGGAGCAGACCAGCAGGTAGTGTCATGGGCAGCGCAGCCACCCATAATGGGGATGTGTCATCCATTGTACATGTGTACCACACATTGCTGAGACTTTGGTGCTCATTGATACTGTGAAAGTTCTTGTTTTCTCCCTCCACCCACTGATAAGGCTTTGGGTGTAGCTTCCCCACTGAGCCATCCAAGTGTTTCAAGTCAGTCTTCTTCACAATTCATAAATCATTTTTAGGTATGTATTTTGTTGTTACCCCCTTTTAAATTACTTTCAAGAACTTTTTATTCATTTTATTATTATTTTTTTAAAGATTTCTATAGGAGCTATTCTATTGTTTTATGATGTGTAATATATGAGTTTTTTTTTTCTTCGTTTTCCTCATGTATCTTTATTCATATTGAGACTCAAAACCTGTGGATTTTGGCCAACTTATGGCTTATTTGGACTTGGTTGGAAGAGAATAGTGGAGTGACAGAAGGTAGAACCCACTATGAAGAACTTCCAGTGACATCATAAATACGCTTGACGGAAGGCACACATGCTCTGAAGCGCAGTATAACATCATCAATGAAGGACGGAAGGAAGACGCCCAACGTGTTCCACCTAAGACACCGGACGCAAAACATCATTACCTAGATTCCATACAGCTGCACCTCCTGGATTGGCTCAAGGTGATCCGGGAGGAGAACTCTTAAGGATATTTATACTCTTTTTGATTGTGAATGTTTATGATCCACTTACCTAAAGACTGTTTACCCCTGAAGAAGTCTGGTTCTCCAGACGAAACATGTAGGGTTGTCTTGTTTTGTTTATTATTGATTTGGTTGTATATGTTTATTTACTTTAACTTGTCCCACACATCTTGCGGTTAAGATGGCATTTTACCTTATTCTGCATGAGCACTTTACGTTTGTAGATTATATTGTGTTGTGAAGTTCTTCACTTTCTGGTTTGATGAGAGCTTACCTCAAATTGCCAAATCCTGGTGATTTGTAGCAAATGCAGGATCTTTATTTTTGTTATATTATTTTTTTATTGTTGTTTTTTTCTATATAGTGCATGAAAAAAGAATTGGTCAGTTCTAGCATAGCATGTTCCATACAAAATTTGTTAAATTGAGAATTAATGCATGGGATCATAGGCGTGCGCAGCCTATTGCATTAGGGTGTGCACCCTAAAGCACAAACACCCGCCGTGTGTGTGTGTGTATGTATCTATATATATATATATATATATATATATATATATATACACACACACACACACATACACTGCTGTGTATGCTGTTAGTGTGCTGTGTGCTGTTAGTGTGATGTGAGGGTGTTTGTGTGTGTTTGTGACTGTGCTGTTTGTGTGTGAGGGTGTTTGTGTGTGTATGTTTGTCCTGTGAGGGTGCTGTTTGTGAGGGTGCTGTTAGTGTGCTGTGTGTGAGGGTGTTGTGTTTTTTTTTAAAGGTGCTGTGTGTGTTTGTGAGGGTGCGGTTAGTGTACTGTGTGTGTGTGAGCTGTATGTGTGTAGATGCTGTATGTGTGTGTGCTGTATGTTTGGAGGGATTTGGCAGATTAGTAAATCCTTGCTGCCATGTGCCATCCCTGGTGGTCCAGTGGAGAGTGAACTCTAGCCTGCGGGGCTAGAGTTAACTCTCGCGAGATCTGAGCGTTGCCGCAGCAATGCTCAGATATCGCGAGAGGAACCTGGCGGAGCTTCTGTCTAGAGCTCCCTGGGTCCTCTCCTGCCTCCCTCCATGCTGCTGTGGGCCGGTGAGGTAGATCTTTGGTCTCCCCGCCTGCCCATGGAGGCTTAGAGCAGAGCCCTGTGTGTGTGTGTGTATATATATATTTATATGCGTACACACACAGACTCACAGACACACATTCACAGACACACATTCACAGACACTCACACACACACACACACACACACACAGACACACATTCTCACAGACACACACACACACACTCACAGACACACACACACACACTCACAGACACACACTCACAGACACACACACACGAACAAATTATTATATTTTAATAAAAAACAATGTCCATCCAGCCTCCTACCTGGAGTGCTGGCGTGGACTTTTCCCTGGGGTCCAGTGGGACGGGCGCCTCTCTCCAGCTCAGCCGCGGCGAGGGAGCTGTCTGCTGTTGGCGCTCTGCTCCCTCTCGCCGCGCAGGCTGTCTGCTGTAGCTGGGAGCCGGAATATGACGTCATATTCCGGCTCCCGGCATCAGCGCGCGGCGAGAGGGAGCAGAGAGCAGAGAGCTCCCTCGCCGCGGCTGAGCTGGAGAGCGGGGGGGGAGGGGGTGGAATTCATCACCTCTTGCCCCCCCATGACAGGGGCAAGAGGTGAAACAGGGGGCGCTGAGTACCTGCAGGAACAGCGTTCCTGCTCAAAAAAAAGTACAGGAACGCTGTTCCTGCAGGACTCAAACCATAGGCGTGCCACGGGGATTAGGGTGTGCCCAGGCACACCCGGCACACCCCGTGCGCACGCCTATGCATGGGATCAGATTCTCACGCAACCACTTACATTAAATAAATCCAATAAATAGAACCTCATCTTGAATATGTGATCAGGGCCAGCTGTATGATCTCACACTGAAGAGGTGACACTGCTGCACATTTAGTTGGACCGTCATAAGGGCAGTGTGAGTAAAGCTGAGAGGCGGAAGCACAGCATTTATAGCAAATCACACACTTGACACACCCAGTGTACCTCACTTTACTCTGCAGCGGTGTTCCAACAGTGACCAGTCTGTGAGGAAAGGAGAGCAAATGTTATCACCGTGCAACTCCAGCCATAATAGAGAAAGTGAGGGGATAGACAAAGTGTTAACAATGGAAAGTGACACATGGTGGGCAGGACAGAAAGAGCCACACAAGAGGAGGGGGAATGAAAATGCCACACAAGGGGGAGGGAGGACGTATATTATATATGTGTGCCTCTCACCAATCTCTATTTTGGCAAGGCAGTCTCAATTTTACAATTTCCTATAGACTGTAAGCTCATGTGAGCAGGGCCCTCTTCAACCTATCGTTTCTGTAAGTTTTCTTGTAATTGTCCTATTTATAGTTAAATCCCCCCTCTAATAATATTATAAAGCACTATGGAATCTGTTGGCGCTATATAAATGGCAATAATAATAACCCTTCACATGTAAACATAGCAGGGTTAATCCAACCTCTAGTGGCTGTCTTCCTGACAGCCGCTGGATGCGCACTTTCCTACGGACTGTTTGTGCGCATGGCTCTTGCTGCCCATGCGCTTTCCGCTCCACTCGGGAGCTGCCGTCGGCGGGGGAGGAGGGAACCCGGCCCTGGATTAAGGTAAGCTGCTGAAGGGGTTTTAACCCCTTCAGCGCCACGGGAGGGAGACCCTGAGGGTGAGGGGCCCCCAAGGATGACATAGTGTCAGGAAAACGGGTTTGTTTTCCTGACACTATAGTGATCTTTTAAGTCTAGCTCCACCTTTAATGCCTTGGCAGAATGATCCTCATCTCGGGATATAGTGTTGTACTGATTCAGCAGACAATCCTTATGGTAATTGATGGTCTTGTAGAATTCAGTAAAATAATATAGTGCAGTATATGAGACCAAAAATTCAAAAAAGTAAGTAGGTGTAAAGATATACACTCAAATATTTCAACGCCTCCGTGATGGCTCCTAAAATATAGCGTTGAATGGTATGTTTCCCACTCTAAGATATAGATATTGCAGATCTCTGTGTACATAAAAGAGAGATGAAACAAAATAGTGCACACTGTAAAAGCAGAGTGTAAAAACAAATTAAAAACTTACACACATGCGGTAGGGCAAAGTACAGTTTGCTCAGTCCAATAGGCGCAGGAGGTACTTATCCCCACCAACAATAAAATAATGTTTAAAAATTAATAAAACAATATGTTAGTACACTTGCCTTTCACCAGGAATTGGCATTATCCACA